ACTTACGAGTGCTTTGTTTTTATAAGTCAAGAAATTGAAAAAAAAAAAAAAAAATACATTGCAATCTTCATTTGTTTTTTTTTTTTTTTCATTTTTGAACACAAGCAACTCTTAAGGAAAAAGTATTAAAGATTGTATAGAAAAATAAAAAATTATGCGTTACGAGAGATAAGAATAGGAAAGAATATTATATATACATACTAAGATTATTTGCTTCGTATCTTTTTTTCTTAATTTTACAAAAGTTCATTTCAAATAGTACATTCATTTCGAGTACTATATTCTGAAAAGTAATGGTTGTGTGTGGTATAAAATACACGCAGTTCATAAGGTTAGTTCAGTCGCGTATGAACGACGCAGATCTTATTGTAGACATACAATTATTTCCATTTATATTTTTCTTTTTTTCCTCTTTTTTTCTTTTGTTTATTTTTTTTTTTCAATAATAATTACTGGTTAAATTTAGCGTTATCAGATTGTGAAAGGAAAAAAAAAAAATTAAAACTAAAATAATAATGCGAATGGAAAAAGTAATGTGGTTATTGAGGTTAGTTTAGATTAGGAACGGGTTGACATATTTTAAGATATAACTCGTGTCACGTGTATATGAAGAATCCTAGTGAGAATAAAGTCGAATATAATTTTCGAAATTTAACAACGTGATATATTGTTAAGTTTTTATCTATTTACAAGTGAACGTAAAGTTAATCATTATAACGATGGATTTAACAATGATACCATTAACGGCCCTATCCATAAGAACTAAAAATACTATTTCTAACCTATTAAATCCTACAAAATATCTTCCATGCGATAATGGTTTACCCAGGTAATCATTATTTTATTTTAACTTCGTTTTTCGTTTTATAAGAACAATGGAATATTTTATCAGATCTACATTTTTTTTTAACGTCGTAAATATTATTCACTATATCATTGTTACGTTATAGAGATTGGAGAGGTCTAGCACATTTAGCAAATATAGAAGGTGAGCTTCTACCTTTGGTATCATCTCATTCTGACCAAACTATGTTTATTCTAAACACTGTTATAAAAAGAAAAAGTAATGATAATATTGCAAACTTGCTACATATGTTATCTACGCTAGAAAGATGGGATATTATTGATGATATTCAACAATTTATCGGTTAAGTAATTTTCATGCTATAATTGTACTTATACTATAACTATATCAATACTATACCAATTTGTATTAATACTATGCGATAAGTATAAGAAAATATATAAAATCTAAATAAATTTAAATTATAAAAATCGAGATAAATTAAAATATAAATAAAACATAATCTGTATTACAGATGAGGATATTAAAAAATATTTAGAATGTTTGGAAAAATCTCAAGTAACAATTGAAGCGATCGAGGAAAATGTCGATACTAAAGTATTAACAGTAGGTTAGTATTAAGATTATATTCTATCTATTTTACAATATATTATCATAACGTTTCTTATATATTTTATAGATGATATTTATAGAATTAAACAAGGTCTAGAAAATCAGAGATATGATGCTTTTGTTTTGTATGCTAATGAAGATATTGACTTTGCAAATGAAATGATAGATCAGCTTGAAAAATTCAATATAAAAGTAAGAATGATCAGTAATATTAAAAGTTATATTATAATATAAAATAATATTATAATCTTTTTCATGAAATATTTCTAGCTTTGTATAAAGGATCGAGATTTAATAGGAGGTATTAATTTTGAACATGAGGCTGTGATGACTCTTATATCAGAACGTTGTAATAGAATGATCATAATAATATCTCCTAATTTTTTTAAGAGTTCTGCAAATGAGTTTTTTTTGAATTATTCTCAAGCCATAAGTATTGGTAGGTATCAAAAGTTAAAATATATATATATATATATATATATATATATATATTTATATCAAAGTGTTTTATACATTCTGATATTCATAAATCTTATCCCACAGATAAGCGTCAAAGGAAAATTATACCATGTTTATACAAAAAGTGTGTACTACCGCTTCAACTTAAGTATATGTTTATTCTTGATTATACTCGAGTTGGTTTATATGATTTTTGGGAACGATTAAGAGATTCCATTCAAGTTTCAAATACATTACATAATAGAAATATAAAGGAACAAGAACTATTAAAATTAACGTTAAAACAAGAAACTAAAGAACAAAGTCATGAAACTATTCCTTATTTGCCGTCTCTGGATAATTTAAGTACATTAAGTATTACAATAGATTCAACGGATATAAGTCAAAATATATGTAAAGAAAATAAGTCCAAGAAGAAGAAATTTCCAAAAATCAAGACATTTAAAAAGATGTTAATGTTAAAGTCATGAGAGATAGAATACCTTTCAATAATTATGTAAAAATTCATTTATATAATGTACATATGTGTAAATATGCAAATTTGTGTATGTATATATATATATATATATATAATATATCGAATGTTTTACTTAACTTGGATAATTTAAGTATTTACGCTGCTTTTGACGATAGAATACAATGTAAATAATATAGAAGTATTTTTCTATAATATTTATACTTCAATTTGATATCTTATATTAGAAAATTTTTAATTTTATATTCATAGTAAATTAATATTTATTGTTTATAACTCTATATATTAATATCTAAAAATTAAAAACTATAAAATATATATTTTTAATATAATTAATATCATACAGTATAAATGGGATTATGAAGGATTGAATGAAAAAAATTTATGTGAAAAAGTATATACATTTCCATTTCTCTTTCTTTTGTAATAAGAGATATGTAATAGGATAGTATTTGTTTGTAAGGTAGATCTAAGAACGGGAAAAGTAGATGATAAGTTAGAATTAAAAAAAAAAAAAAAAAATGCAAACCCTAAGGGAAGGAATAAAAAATGTATCTATCTACCTATCTATCTATTTATAATTAAACAAAAGATTTCAATCAAATTTTATTGGAGAAAACATTGAGAGAGATGTTTGTTGAGGTAAAAGTCATTTAATTTGACAAAACTTTGATAAATTATAAATGATGCATAAATGGCATCCTTAAAAAAATATATCAAAATTTAACGATTAATATATATTTTTCAATTAGATTGTCTGTAAGAAAAAAAAGGAAAAAAAAAAAGAAAGAAAAATAAAACAAAAATACGTCAAATAAAGAGAAAAAAAAAAAAAGAAAAAAAGAAAATACGATGTCAAATAATAATAAAAAATCTCATAACTACCGTTAAATTTGTCACCTTTATTTTTAGAGTTAGCTGCATTTAAAACAACCTTTATATTTATAATATTGCTCTCTATAGGAGTACGGTTGATAATCAAAAAAGATATAACTGTCTATAGAAAATAGTATTACAAATTAAAATATTATCTAATTACATTTTTAAGTGTTTTATAATACAATTCATTAATGAAATATAAAAGGCACCTGAAATAAAGCGGACCGACATTTTCTATTTCTTGAAAATAAGAAAGATAAAAATCATTTATCCGGTCGGCTCCGATTTCTACGAAGACACATTAATCTTTAGGCACAACATTATATTTTCATGCTGTCTGTCATTATACACAAAAGTTTTATTATCCCTTCAATATATTCATATTTCCACCAGCGATGTGTATTTACAGGAAATTTTTTTTGTATATATCTATTATGTTCCTTCTTTCGCTTTTTCTTTTTCTTTTTTTTTCTTTTTTTTTGTTTTCTTATTTCTTCTTCTTCTTTTTGTTTTCTTTCCTTTGTATTTATTTTTTAAATATAATCTCTCTCTCTCTCTCTCTCTCTCTCTCTCTTTCTCTTTCTCTCTCTCCCTTTGTCTTTATATATAAATCTTGTTCGACAAAAACGAATCGTTCTGATGGAATTATGAATAAAGCATATACAACGTCGGCGTGGTGTCAAGAAAAAAAAAAAAAAAGAAAAAAAAAAAAAAGAACAGAAGAGAGAAAAAAAATCGAGAAAAAAAAGAAACAGATATTGTAAAATTATTTAGAATAAAGTCTTTATATCACTTGTGCACAATTTTTTCTTCAAAGTCACGATTATTATTATTATTATTATTATTATTATTATTATTATTATTATTATTATTATTATTATAATAATAATTATTATTATTATTTATCTCTTTATGAAAGACCGCACCTTGTTTACGCACTTGTCCATGAAATTTCTTTTTCTCTTTGGCTCGGCTCCTGCCGGCAATGATAGCAACGAGCCTTGTTCCTTTATCTCAGCTTTGTAATCATTGGACGAAACACTTTCGTTGGAATCTAATCCCGCGCCACAGCTCTTTGCTTTGAGCAACATTGATTTATCGTTTATTATCGTCATTAGTCTTTCCTGTATTGGTTCTACACTATTATCACAAAGCTCAATGGTTTGTTGCTGCCCTTTATGAGAATTCGTCACCTCACGCTGATCAATTAAACACGACGATTCGTTCTCTCGTTTATCCATATTCGTAAATCTATTTGTTTGTTTAGATAACAACGTTGAATCATTATCTTCGTTAACGTTGCTTTTATCAGAGGACGACGATGAAGCTTTCTCATTCTTTTCATCCTTGACGTATACCACTTTATTACATATATCCAATTGTGAATTAGATATTTTTGTTTTTAAACGCGGAACAGGTAATGGATTTTTATCATCCTTTATTTCCTCGTTAACAACACTTGATGGTTCATCATATTTTTCTGTTTTCCAAGATACAACGTTCAAGTTGTCCGTAATAGATTCGCAATTTTTTTCTTCCGTTTGATTTGTTTCATTAAAACTAAGAGGATTTTTCTTATCTCGATCATCAATTCTCTCTTCTTCATCCTTAGCCAATTCTTCAGTCTTAATGTGTGAAACTACGTCATCCTCGTCCAAAAGACCATCCAAACTTTTGGATCTTGGCCTTGGTATAGGTTCAGGTTTGGCGACTGGCAAGACAGATGATTTCTTCTCATCCTGATCTAAAAGTTCTAAGGATTTAGATCGTGTAGACGGAGAGGGTGGATGTCGTGGTGGTCTGCGAGGTATTGGACTTCCTCCAGGATGTGTATGGATGAATTTTAATCGAGGTGACGTTGGCGGCAAACCCATTAACCAACGGGACGGACTCGACGATTTTCTAAATCTGTGATAACAAAGAAAATATTTATATAAAAATATAAATATTATTTTTTAATAGTGTATCATCTCATTTATCAGATCACTATTATTTCAACGAGATACATTTAATTACATTTAGATACATTTAAGCGACATTGAATTCTATTTTTTTTTTTTTTTTTTTTTTTTTTTTTTTTTAATACAAAGACGCAACTACTAAATCGAAAAGAAAATAGAAAATGTTTAAAGGCAAATAAAGGACAATCAAACTTTGACACGTTTGTGCATCGAAAGAACAATAGCAACAGCCAACAATGAACATGAATTCGATATTATTATAATTTCAAATGAAATTCCACCAATTGCACAATGCACATACGAGCATTTTTTTACAAAAAAAAAAAAAAAAAAAAAAAAATGTAACATCTCAACAAGAGATTATATCAACAGGCGTCTAGATTCAAGTATAACATTCGTGACTAACACAACTTAAGGATATTTGATTGATAATTATCTCAAATTTTATACAAATTATCAACGAATAATGAGCTGCTTGAATAATGATATAATTTACATATAACATGCATTAAAATTACAATCTACAAGCGTGAACAGTATGGACGAGAAACAATGATTTCATAACATATGGATGGGGAGTAGGGGGGATGGAGGGAACAACGATTCAAGACCATTCACAATGGTGCAGCTTAATAAAATATATCAATATGAAAAAAAAAAAAAATATATATATATATATATATATCTTTTGCACCAACTGACCTAAAATCGTGATTGTCTTATCGCGATTCATATTCCCTGCTGTAGAAAATAGAAATTAGTTGTGTGTTAGTATTTTAATCTTTTGATATAAATTCATTGAAGTATATGATATAATAAAAAAAAAAAAAAAAAAAAGAATGATCCTAAAATATTTTACCTGTTTGGAATAGCTGTGGGCGGGCCGTCTAGTCAGTCTCGCCCACCATTTGAATCCTTGTCGCTACCTCTACTTTCATTGCTATGCATTCGTTGATAATTCGGTGCTTGTCGCATATTCGTGCTACCTGGCGTACTAGGTGCTGTTACGTCCTTGGATGCTATACTTCTTGGTATACCACCGGACAATTCAGATCTTACAGGAATTTCTCCTCGCATAAACCTTAAAAAAAATTCAGGAATATATATATATATATATATATATATAGATATTATTTTTGTTTTGTTTTGTTAATCTTTTCTAATATATAACAAATCAAATACAAAAGTCAAGTATTTATGTGCAAGTAATTATTTACCTTTCTAATTTGTCTACGCAAGCATCTTGATAATCGTGAATCCAACGTACGCCATTAAAGTGACAAACCGTTCGCATATCTTCAGGAAGATCTTCAGGTTCAGGCCATTGAAAATTATCTATTATGGGAATAATGTTACACTGCGATTGTAACGCAGCTACAATTTCCTGTAAATGAATCAAAAAAGAAAAAAAAAGAGAGATAAAGATACGTTAAAACTATTTTCTCTGTATAACGGATTTAAAAACATTATGTTGAACGATCTATATATATATATATATATATATATATATATAAAGAAAGGAAAGGAAAAATAAATGAAATCTTACCCTATGGACCCAGTCTTTACATTCGTTGTCCTGTATACACCTTTCTAATGCCTTGGGCGTTAGCACAAGGAGGAAGTGTTTGGCCTGTCTTATACTTTGCAACAAATTATTATCGAATTTACCGGCCTCTAACCTTTCGACGTCGATAAAGACCGAAAATCCACGTAATTGCAAATGAACCTTGAGTAAGCTAGCTAATTGAGATCCATTGGATCTTCTATAACTAACGAATACATCTAAAGATTTATCCGGCGATTCGTCTTCGCAAGAACTGAATTGATTGTGTTGCATGTTCTTAATGGCATCCAATATCCTAAGTCGATGTATACTATTGGCTATACCACACTCGGTCAATAATTGATCCTCGGATAAATTTCTGATAGAATCTTTGTCAACGCCAGCGTTGAGCATACTATAAGTGTATATAGAAAATTCTTGACCGATCGATTGTAAGAAACTATTTAAATTTCCGGTATCCCTGCTACTGTAATCCGCCATTTTTTTCAAATTTTGTAATTCCCGCGTAAAACGTCTCCTTCTAATTCCATTCGTCAAGCCAATGTCCTCCTTGAGATTCTCTTCTGTCAATTGGAGCAAAAGATCACCGTCCACTCTACTCTCAACAAAATTTGCAGCACACTCGGCAAAACCTATTTGTTTAACCCATTCTCTAACATCCTCCGTAGACCAAAGTGGTACCTGTTGGCTAAGTTTATGTGGTATTTCCTCGCCAATCAAACGTAATGCTTGAGCAGCGTATTTGGAGGCAATTGCATTTGGACAACTGGCGACTTTCTTCAATGGTTCGATAGCTCCTATAGCACGGAATATCTCGGTATTGCCTTGTTGTTTCTTAATACCAGCTTCCATGCAAAAGTGAAAAGCTGCGAGATTTCTGGCTTCCTCTCTTTTCGAACTTAACACGGGTACCAATCTTTCCAACCAATTTTTACTTTGTCCATGAGCATGCGCCAAATTCGATTTTGCAAATTCGTAAGGATTGTGAGATGTTACGAATGGCTCGACTAAGTCAAGGGTACCGGATTTTAAAACGGCCGCCTCAATTTCTTTGTTGGCTACTAAAACTGCGATGGCCAGACAAGCGTAATACTTTATATTATCGTCATTATGAAAGGCAAGTGGAAAGAGCCACATTGGTACCTTTCTCTTGATCATAGCTTCTTGATTTTCAGCACCACCGTAAAGTGACAAATTGGCTAATGCCCCGGCACAGTGTCTCAATGTTTCTACGTCGTTCTTTCTACACTCGAATAAAACCGCGTCCAAACCGCCAAGCCTGATAACGTCGCTACAGGTACCCTCACTATGCTTGAATAGATGTTCCAATATACCGGTGCCCACTCTAGAATGATCCACGGAGTTGGCATTCTTCGTGCACACACAAGCTACGTTTACAACCTTCTCAAGGCCATGTTCAACCACGTGGGCACGATTTTCAGTTGTCAAACATTGTTCCAATAATCTGGCCGAGGAGAACTGTAACTCGTGATCGCTAGCAATGCAATTTGACATCAACAAATCTAGACCACCTCTCGTTCTAAGGGTGTTACACAGTGTATAACCAAGTTCATGACCATGAGTAGGTACAGCCCAGGCTTTTCTGATAATCTCGTTTACCCTGTTCAATAACAACGGAGCTTTCCCGTTCTTTCCTTCGTTGGTCTTTAAACGTTCGACGAAACTATCCAAGAAACCGGAGTATTTAGCAATCGCACGATCAACATCCTGCGGATTTGACTTAGAACATAATAAATCCAGATCGTCCAATGGCAATGAAAGAAGTTCATCCTCAGCTGGCCTCATACCATTCATCAATTGATTTACCGCATTGGCCGCACATATCATCGATGATTTTGACGTAACTCCTTTCGAAGCTATTGTTATACTCGATTGCGAACTCGATGCCATGTGTTTTTCATGATTGTAAATTCCTGAGGAAGTTACTGTCTGACGTTGTTGTTGTGCCGCCATCGCCTTCTATAAAATAGAATAAAACAATAACATTAATTTTTAATTTGAATGTAATTATTTATATCACTTTTATTATCATCCTCTTTGCGTAATCTAATTTATTTCGTATGACGCAATAATAGGTGATATTTTAAACGGTCATAACAAAAATATTCAAAACGATCAAATACTAATTCATTTCTTTCGTTGATTTTACAAAGCACGTTTTTAACTACCATTCTCGAGTCGAGGCTCCACTTTCGTAACATTTTCGTTGTTTTCACTCGTGTTTTAAATGTAAACAAACACTTTGAATTATTTTTCCTTCCTTTTATTATTTCTTTTTTTTTTTCTCTTCTTCTTTTTATCTTTCTTCTTCTTTCCCCCCCCTTCCTTTTTTTTTCTTCTTCTTTTGTTGCCGTTATTGTAAACTATTTCATCGGAATCATTAAAGTTTTTCTTTCGCGTTTTACATTTGAAATCATCATCGTGACTTTTCCCTTTTCTTTTTCTTTTTCAACGGCGTCAGACGTAGTATATGCTCGTGGTTCAGGAAATCGAGAAAGACTGAAAGCTGACGGTAAGCTCGTCACCGTTTAAATTGGTGAAATCTTTAAACGCTCGATATCACGTACACGTATATATGTGTATGTGTGTACACACACACACACACACACAGCAGACACGGACATAGGATCGTAGGTAGTTAGTCAGAAGCATACTTTTCGATACGTACAACTATACACATACGACTGCCAAAGTTAAGGTAACTTCATCCAGATCGTTTTTAAAGACAACGATTTATGGCTAACTCGAAAAACGTATTCTTTGGTGACTGGCCAAAGTGACGAACGAAAAGAAAACAAGAAAGTCCTGTTATATTCATTTATCCAAAAACTATTATATATTTAATTCTCTTTCGTCCTTTATAGATAACACTTTTTTTTCTTTTTTTTTTTTGAAAAAAAAAAAAAAAAAAAAAAAAAAAAAAAAAAAAAAAAAATTCAGGAAACTTTCGATAAGTTTCAAATTTTCTTTTCGTTTCCGTTCGATCTTTGAAGATAAAACAAATACATTTTTTATATCTTGTATATAAAAAAAATATATATATATATATTCAGAGAGAGAGAGAGAGAGAGAAAAAGAGAGAATTTGAGAGAATATTTTCAAGTTAACCAAGATTTTCGTTTGAAATATATTATTTTTGAAAACATTTACAAAACGTAGAAATTTATTTATATCGATTTATTATGAGAACCAACCTTTTCTGAACTGAATGAATCACTTTGTAACTTCATAGTCGAGGCTGCCATGTTGTTGCTCTCTTGATGCGATAAATCTCCAGCCTTCAAGCTTCGCTGTTCCTGTAATAACGAAAGAGATAGATATATTGGGTGATACCAATTCTAAGTGCTTGTATTCGCGGAAGAGAGAGCATATAAAATATGAAAGCCTAATGCATTTTATGGGAAAAAAGTTTTTCCTTTTCCTTCTTTCTTTCCTTCCCTCAAAAAGAAGAAAAAAAAAAAAAAAAAAAAAAATATTAAAGAAAAAAAAACAAAACGTAAAACGTGCTTTGTCGAGCTAAATGACGAACTCCTTTGTCTAAACTAAATGACCCTAATTAGAATGACAATGAACGATATGCGTGTTTAGCGTAATACATGCTCTTTTTTTTTTTTTTTTACACTGTAGTTGCAATTACTCACTCGATCGGAATAATTTTCAAATAAATTTGCTTCCTTCTTTTCTTTCTTCTTTTTTTTTCTCTTTCTTTCAAAAACTTAACAAACACACAAGTTTGTATAAAAAAAAAAAAAAAAAAAAAAAAAAAAAAGAAAAAAGAAAAAAGAAAAAAGAAAAAACCCACGGCAATATTTTTTCACGTACAAGAATCCCTACACGATGATGATTATTCAAATGAACGAAGTTCATCACTGAATGATTCTTTTTGTTTTTCTCGTTTTTCTTTTTCTTTTCTTTTCTTTTCTTTTCTTTTTTGACTTTTAGAACTTTCACAAAGCAAGAATGTTGTAATCGAGAGAGAGAGAGAGAGAGAGAGAGAGAGAGAGAGAGAGAGAGAGAGAGAGAGATTAGATTGAATGGAATGAAAACAAAAGAAAATAATTGGAAAATAACGAGAGAAGAAACGGAAAACAGAACCTCCCTCCCCCTCTCCCCCCAAAACAAATAACCAGGAAGGAAACAAGATCGAAAAAAAACTATCAAATAAATCACGAATGCGAGAATTTCGAGAGAAGTACGACCGTCGCAGTTCCATAGCAATCTGACCGTTCTGTCATGTATCCCGACCTCTTCGATGCCTTCTGACGTATTTCTATAAATATAAGCGAAGCGTTTCGTCACGAAATCGTCGTCGCGTCTTTTCTCTTGTCGCTGGACACAATCATATATATATATATATATCCGTTTATACGCGTAATCTTTTTTTTCTTACTTGTCATCAATTCCTAGGACATCTATTATTTTTGTTTTTTAATTTCTTTTTAATTTTTAATTTTTAATTTTTAATTTTTTTTTTTTTTTTTTTTTTTTTTTTTTTTTTTTTTTTTTTTTTTTTTTTTTTTTAATACAATCCTAAATCCAATCATTCAAATACCGACAGATAGATCAAGTCTAATCGATCAAATAAATAAATATCATTTATACTTTTCAATTTTTTATATTAATTTATTTAATTGTTTTTTCTTTCCGTATTTCCTTCCTTTTCTTTTTCTTTATTTCTTTTTTTTTTTTTTTTTTTTTTTTGTTTCTGTTTTTTGTCCCATTTCGTAAATTATTACGAACATAAATTATTCTCTTTCTCTCTCTCTCTCTCTCTCTCTCTCTCTTTTACGAGAGTGTCTTATTATGAAATATTATGGGCACGAGACTGATTTGATACTTTCGTTTCTTTATTTTTTTTTTTTATCTGAGCAAACAAGCAAAGAAAAAAAAAACAAAGGAAAGGAAAAGGAAAGAAAAGATGATTAGAAAAAAAGATTTCGATATTCTTACCGAATGTGAACTATCGTAATTTTTTCGTTGCAATATACCTCGATGCACCGGCCAAGGTACGCTCATGTTTATAAATATTCATACCAGTCGCGTTAAATAACACTTTCTAAAACACAAAGCATATTGCTTAAGGTATATACGAAGGATCGATCCGTACGTTTTCGATGAAGACGAAGCACTAACTAATCTTAGCGTGTCGGAGTTGTTAAACTCCTATTTGATCTATCTTATATGTGTTGCGCGCGAAAAAGCTTTCTCGTTGGTCACGTGACGCCAATAGCGGGAACTTTTAAAATACATTTCGAACGGCCATTATATCTTGTCGTCACGTTGGAAATATTACTTTCAAATATGTCATCGTACGTTTACCAATGTTATTTTCAATGTTCAATATTTAAGATTCACAACGTCAAACTGTTATTACAACAGATTGTAAAATTCTCTTTGCGAACGGAGTCATTAATATACGTCACGCGGTCTAACACGTAAGAAAGAAAAGTATCACTCGTCGTCACGTTGCAAAAACCTTGTTAAAAATAATTTTCTCATCGTGTTAAAATCACGAGAATATTGTTTAAACACGTTATACAATATCTAATCTAATGTCGAACGTAATATTCACCAAGAATTATCATTCGTGATTTCATTTATTTATTACGAGAACAAATTGCATTTTATAAATTTTCAATTGCAAAATTATATTTATTTTAATATTTTGTTTAACTTAAAATTATACTTAAATTATTAATGCATATATATATATATATATAAATAAAAAAATAAATAAGATATTACGAAGAAATGACGAACCGATCGATCAAGTAAATATTATCGCCTAATATAATTTTCCAGTTACTTATATTAACCGATATAATTAATAATAATCAATATCAACAACAACAACAATAACAATAATAATAATAATTAAAATAATAATAATAAAAATCTTAAAAATCGAACCAGATCCCAGTGCAATGATTTACAAATGAAAATGTTTAAATAGAAATAATCTCGTAAGATCGATTTAAAGTAAATGAAGCCGCCGATTTCTTTATAACTCTTTCAAGTACAAGGAGAGAATCGTCGAGCGGATAAAATAGGAATGAAAATTTTTGGCAATTCGCTACTGGATCCAAATTGAACCTTGAACGTGCGTACGTGCGTGCGTGCGTGCGTGCGAGCGTGCGTGCGTGTACGGATCTTGAAGAAGCATTTCGAAGAAGAGAAGTTAGATGTTGGCAATTTACCCGAAAGTATTTCGCGGCCGAGTTCTATTTTGAGTTAGGTCGGGGGCGGGGGCGGGAGAAGGGAGTGAAGATATCGGTGACATTTACACCTAGTTGGCAAGCATATTTCCTCTGAATCTTATTGAATTCACAAAGATTACGTCAACCGTGAGAGAAAACAACCACCTCAATGAATGGGGACGACACTCCCGAGGATTATGACGTTTAACAAAAAGAGAAGAAGAAGAAGAAGAAGAAGAAGAGAGAGAATAGAGAAATGAAAAATGAATTTCACCAAATGCCACCAGTTGACCAGTCAACCAAAGAACTTAGGTTACGTAATCTTAAACATTATCTTTACACACACACACACACACACACATACCAAAGATTCCTTTTAAACCATTCGATACCATCTAATCGATGAATAAATATATCATATACATTGTCGTGAAATTGTTCGATAGATATCGCATTATTTTTTTTTTTTTCACTTAAAACACTTAAATTTGCAATTAAAGTAATTAAAACGTTACGATCGATAAAGATAAAAATAATTTACGAATGACATCCGATCTATGTAAATATATCAATTATCTTTTGATACAGGTCCTTTTTCTCTCTATCTCTTTAACAGACAATAATAAATATAAAAATGAGAAATAAAATATATTATGATTAATTTTTCATTACAAATAGGCCTACCATTCCGATACATTTTTCCCGATGATCATTGTTCCTCAAAATACGTTTGGTCACTGTAATATTTCGGGTCCTTAAAACAGGAAAAAGGACCCGTGCAAGCCTCGAAAGTCGTTGCCCCATCGACAACATACGCAAGCTATCGTAGCCAAGAACAAACTGTTCTGACGTTCTTTCTTTCTAACCGTTCTGTTATCGACCACTCGCTCAATACTCAACCCCAAGTTTTACTGGAGTTACTGGGGGATGATGGTGGTAGTGGTGATAGTGATGGTGGTGGTTGTGGGTGGTAGTAGAGACAGTGGCGGTAGTGACGGTAGTGGTGGTGGTGGTGGTGCTTGGAAACACGCCCCGTAGGAACAGAATCGTTTCATTTAAATATTCAAGGTCAATGCGGGAAAAGTCCAAAGCTCAACAACCACCTACTCATCCATTGATCGACCAACCAACCAACTAACCAACCAACCAACAGGAAATTCCAATGAATTTCCTTTAGAAAATCAATAGACGGTTGGTTCGATAATATTAATTTCATTAATTGTTTTATATACTTATAATATTATATTCTAATTATATTATTATTTATTAATATTCCACAACGTCATCTTGCGGTAAAATTGAAAAGTATCCATCTCGATGGATTAAACTGTGCAATATGATTCATCATCTCAACATGTATCATATATATATATATATATATATATATATATACATAGTGTATTTGAAAAACTACTTGTGCTTAGAAGATACAGCGGTACATATTAAAGCATTTGATTGATCAAAAATAATATTTAATTTATTTTAAATAAAATTTAACGATATCGTATCGTTTATGTACGAATATAAAATAATTTCGATCGATGTAATTTAATAGAAGCTTCATTGAATTTTCTCAATAAACAAATCTGACAAATTACGTATGCATTAGAGAAATAATATAATGAGAGTATTTGAATCTCTATGAGATTCACAACACATGAGTGTTATTAATGATCATATTGCTTTAACGTAAAGACGTATATACAGATATACAAATGGTAGATTTGTATCTATAAACCAATCGAGAACTCGATTGGCTCAGTTTCAAAAAGCTTCCCTTCGACGCGCTGACTCAAGTGTAACCCGCCAACGTATCCGACGAATCCCCCGACTAAATACTATTCGGTTAAAATAATCTAAATATAGAATATACCGATGGGAAAGCTCTGACGTGGTACTGAAAGAGGTCTTACACAATTCTCGAAAGCATTACCCCCTCGTGTAATCGTTTCTCAACGAGAAGGTTCGACGACTGCTCAATTCGATTGAAAATAAACCTATACGTTATACACGTATACGTAACTTAAATACGTGTATACGTACAACGTTCAGAGAAAATTTTCTTTTCCAAAAAAAAAAAAAAAAAAAAAAAAAAAAAAAAAAAAAAAAAAAAAAAAAAAAAAAAAAAAAAAAAAAAAAAAAAAAAAAATATATATATATATATATATATAGACACATGTCACCTATTAGAATCTTAGAACTAATCGATTTACGACGACGACGATTTCAAAGAGTATTTACGTAATCGCATACTCGCTAATTTATCGTTCGCTTTTTATACCAGTAGTTCGAAATTTTCGTTATAATTATAATCATAAAAAACGAAACGATTGTTATTACAAATTGAATGATACTTGCTCGTAAAGATAAATTATGATCAGATCGAAATTTGATAGATGTGTTGGATTATGATAGGGGGGGAAAAAAAAAAAGAAAAAAAAAAAAAAAAAAAAAAAAAAAAAAAAAGAAAATAGAGATATATTATCACAATGTTAAATCTTCCCTGTTCATTCATGAATTCCACTTCTTTCATTATGATTCAAGATCGGGCAAATTGGATAATCTTATAAATAGATATTGAAGAAAATATAATAATTAAATTTGTACGCTTACTCTGGCTGCAGCTACCCTCTTTTCCGCAGATACACCGTCCAATTCGACCCGTGCCCTTGCCGCGGTCGCGGCGCTTTGTTCTTTGTAAGATACATCGCCAGCTTGTAATGCTCTCATTTCAGCGCTATTGGCTATTGCCTTTTCAGCACTAAATCCATCGGTAACGACCTATACAAAAAAAAAAAAAAAAAAAAGAAAAAAAAAAAAAAAAAAAAAAAATAAGGAAAAAAAAAATAAATAAAAATTAAAAAGAAATAAAAAAACGGAAAAAGAAACATAGATAAATAGAAAAATAAATAAATAAATAAATAAATAAATAAAATTAGAATCTTAACCATGACAATATCAGTGTATCATTATTACATGATCATAATCGTGATAATCATTGTAATCATTATTATGATCAATGAGAAAAGATCGGACAAAAGAATAGAATGATAATACATACGATCGATCGGTTGTGACAACTCGTGAGTTAGAAGAAAAAAAAAAAGAGAGAGAAAAAGAAATAGAGATAGAGAGAGATAGATTGATATACATATATATATATATATATATATATATAAAGAGAGAGAGAGAGAGAGAGAGAGAGACTCGAAGTCCTTGACCTAGACTACATAGAGGAAACCACACCTCGGGCCAAACATTGCACAGTCTCCGCCTCGTTCTTCGACGTTCTTAAAGAGTCATTTGCTATGCTCGATTATTCCACGTGCGATCTACGAACCGATGATCACCTACTGATCGAGATCCATAGTTCTAATGTTAGATCTTATTAGATCCCTTCCGTGAGACAGAGACAGAGACAGATAGACAGACAAACAGAAAGAAAGAGAAAGAGAACAGATCTTGGCACGTAAATAATAATTTAATTGCTTTCAGTCAAAGAACATATATATATATATATATAAAGTTAGAAGTTACAAAAATTATTAGAACGATCTATAAAGATCTTTAAGTGATTATTATTTAATCACAAGGTCACGATCGATGCATTATCTACTTTTTCCTTTTACTTTCTTTCCTTTCGTTTCTTTTTTTGTTTTTTTTTTCTTTCTTTTTTTTTTTTTCTTTTTAATTTAATTCACAAAAACGATAAGAAGATGATCATCGGTGATCGTCGTATGTATTTGGTTTCTTTTCTTTTCTTTTTTTTTTCTTTTTTTTCTTTTTTTTTTCCTTTCCTTTTTTCACATTTCTCCGTTTACATTAAACATTATGGAACTGACCTTCGTCTTCGATGCACTCGTCATTTTCTTCTGTTCAAATTTCATAGTTTCCTGACCGGCAGGTAAACTCGTCCTATTCGTTATACTCGGCATATTCATCTGCGGGCTCATACTGTGAAGATTGTTCAATGAATTGAGAGAACTCAATTGAGACGGCGAACCTCCCGTCAATGTGACAGTTCCCGTTGAGGGTGGAGGTGTATCAGGATCCGGGAATGTTACCAATGGCTCGGTCAAATCATTTTCTTCGGCGCCGGTTCCGTCTCTAAAAAAAAGGAACAACGAACGAAAATATATAAATATATAAAAAGCAATAAAAAAAAAAAAAAAGAAAAAAAAAAAAAGAAAAAAAAAATAAAATAAATGAAAAAGGAACGAGAAGGAAAAAAAAATCATTAGTCGTTAATTTTCTTTCCTTTTCTTTTTATATTCGTTTCATCCCTCCCCCTCCCCCGTCCCACCCTCAAATTACGTATTTAAATATTTCATTCTGCCAAACGGACAATGTTCGTTGATTATATATATATATTTCTTTTTTTTTCTTTTTTTTTTTTTCGAGGAAATAAATTCGAAAAGAAAGAAAAGGAAGAAAAACGACGAGTGATTTAATTTAAATGAAAAAAAAAAAAAAAAAAAAAAAAAAAAAAATTGACTTGCGCTTACCTGTCAACGAGATTCTCCATGC